CGCGACGCCGCCCGCGGCGTGCGCCGCGACGACCTCGGCGTCCTCGCTGCTCGCGTCGCTCGCCGCGTGGTCCTTGCAGGGGCTCCCCGTGAAGACGGGGCCGTCGAGCCACGTCGCCGACTCGAAGCTCACGTCGACGGCGGGCGGCTGCGACGTCCAGGTGGGCAGGTGCTGCATCGTTGGTGACTTTGAATGGCCGCAACTGTGAGACAACAAATCGAGCGCGGCACTGTAACATCACCATAGCGGCAATCGACAGGTTGAATTCTAGTGGCAAAAGCAAAGCATGGCCGCAAAGCGCGAGACGAGAGACTACTAGCAGGTGCTCGAACGATTTCAGACACACGAGACACGTAGCATACGCTGCAAGCCGCCACAGAAGCGCTAGAACCGGCTAAATTCCAGCCCATGGCTGCTCTCGACGCCGCGCCGCCGGACGCCCTCGAGGGAGCGGCTGCTCTCGACGCCGCGCCGCCGGACGCCCTCGAAGGAGCGGCTGCCCTCGACGCCTTCGACGCCGCGCTCGACGTGGACGGCGACGGCGGCGACGGCGAGGAGAGCGAGCCGTGGCCCGAGCTCGCGGACGTCGGCCCGGCGACGAAGACGCTCATCCTCCGCAAGCGCGCGGCCTTCGCGCCGCATCGCTTCGTCGACGCGGCGCTCGGGTCCGCGGCGTCGCTGACGCTCCTCGACGTCTCCGGCGCGGGCCTCGAGCGCTGCGACCACGTCTGGCGGCTCGCGGGGCTCCGGGACCTGTCGCTCGCGGGCAACGCGCTCGGCCCGGCGCTCGCGCCGCGGCGCGCGCTCGAGGGTTTAGGCGCGCTCCGGTCGCTGGACCTGTCGGCGAACGGCCTCGCGGTCCTCCCGCCCTCGCTCGCGGCGCTCGAGGCGCTCGAGTCCCTCGACGTCTCGGGCAACGCGCTCGCGGCGCTCCGGCTCGTCGATTTGGCGTGCCTGCCGCGGCTGCGGCGCGCGAGCTTCGCGGACAACCGCCTGTCGTGTCTCGAGGCCGCGGACCACGGCGTCCGCGAGCTCGACCTCGCGGGCAACGCGCTGGCGACGCTCGCGGGCCTCGCGGGCTCCGCGGAGCTCGTGTCCCTCGACGCGTCGCGGAACGCGCTCGCCGCGCCGCCGGAGAACTTGCTCGCGCGCTGCCCGAAGCTCAAGGCCGCGAGGCTCGGCGGCAACCCCTGGGCCGACCGGAAGTTCGCCCGGGCCTGCGAGGCCGGCGGCAAGGCGACCATGGACGCGCTCCGGGGCGGCGCGTCGAAGCGGCGGGCGAAGCGCGCGGCCGCGGCCGCGGCGCCGCGGCCCGCGCGGCTCTACGAGAGCGCCGGGCCGCGGAAGCTCGTCCTGGCGACGCGCGCGGCCGTCGTCCGCCGCCCCCACGCCGCCGCGTGCGTCCTCCGCGTCGCGCGGCGGGGCGGCGGGCCCGCGCGCTTCGCGTTCGCGGCGGCGGA